TCTTTTAATTGTTGCTCATTTCATGAGGATAAATTATTTGCTGTCTGTTTTTAAAGTCTAAGTAACTAGATGAGCTGAGTATAAGATGCGTTATAGTGGGGTTACCCTGTAAGATGGGGTAGAACTTCCGCTATTAGTTTCCAAGACTAAATCTTTATGGGAATAGAAAGCCTCATCTTTCTTCCATGGAGTAGCTGATGGTTTTGAACTGCTGACCTTGCAATTAGTAGCTGAATATAAAACCCACTATACCAGAGGGCTCCTAGTGCATTGCTGTGAGTTGGAGTTAACTTGATGGCAGTGAGAAATATAAGATATATTTCTGTGTCTCACATTAATCTGAGATATTCTTAATAAGCCTATCTATTCTCCCAGACATATATCTACAATATGAATTGTTTGGAACTAGCTGTTTGTTATCGTATGTAGAACTTTATGCCTTGGTTTAGAACATGCTTTCTGTTAAGTTTTATTACATACACTAATACCATGCTAATTTTTGAAATTTTTTGTGCATTCTTACATGAGAATTGACTATTACTGTAAGGTTTTTTTGGACATGGATTTTGTCAAAACTCGTCTTTTGAATCATCAAGCTATGCCAGAATTGCCAAAATTAGTTCATATGAACACCTTTATGATACCTTTCTTCCCTCTACCATCGCCCCTCCTCTGTGTGACTCAAGTAAAAGTCATTCTCCTCGGGATACTTTGTCTATACCTTGGTAACATACATACTTTTTTACATTAGAATTAGGTATACAAGTGACTGTTCCCTCCATAAGTTATAGGCTGCCTGAGGATTGGAATTTTGTTTCATTCATGTTTTTATGTACTCATGTGATGCTAGGGGTTGAACCAAATAGTTCAGTGTTCAATAAATGTTTATTGAGTTAAATTGAATACAAATGTCAACTTATTTAGTTTCTAGCAAAAAATATTGTCTTTCTGAACTAAAATCAATGGAGAGAAGGGTGTAGGATGCCTAGTGGGGCTTAATGAAGGACAATGTAGCAGTGAGGAATTACTAAACCCCAATGAAACCCAAACATGATGGTGGAACAAGAGGAAAGTAAAAGGAAAATAAAGGAAAGAACCAGGAGGTAAAGGACATTTATATTTATATATAAAATGAGAGGGGAATAGATCTATGTATTTAAATCTATATGTTAAGAATTAAGGTTGCAGATGAATATTGGGCCTTGACTCAAGTAC